AGCTTGAGTTGACTTTCCTGATATTTAAGTAAAAATTAAAATTCAGTAATGAACAGAATGTCAGTAGATAATTCTAGTTACTAGATGAATGCCAGAATGTGTGCTTTAAGATGTCAGAAACAGTACTGGATAACACAAGAAAAGTTATCATATTCTCCTTTTTGATTCATAGTTAATGATGCTTTTATTCCTTAAGATTTAGATCAAGAAATACCATTTATTCAGAAAAATGAATGAGAATCTGTGTATTATGTTAGTGGCTTCCATTATCTTGTAAAAATTTATTTCAAAACAATGAGATGAAATTAATCTTTCTATTTCAAGCAATTACACCATACCTGAGCATTAATCATAACTCCCACCTTGCATTCAGCAGCTGTGGTAACATACTATGTAGATAGCTAGTAGTTCAGATGTGAACTATTTCATATTAAAATATTTGTTTCTACTACAGTTTTTCTTTCTCTTCCAGAACACTCAGTGTCACTAAACCTTTTCTGATGCTCTGTTCTATAATTGAATCACATTGCTTTAAATTATTTTCTGTATTAAATAACACAGATGTGTAGTAAAGTAGTTATCTCATTTCCTCTCAGCAATTATGAGAGAAGTAAACACTATAAAATATATATCTGTATGTAGAATCAGAAAATATACTGGAAATATATTTGATATCCGAGATATTTCCTCTATTTAGAATTGATTGTTCACAGTAATGTGTATGTGAATATTTAAGATAAATGATTTAAAATAGTTTGTTATGAAATGACCGTAGAAATCAATTGTTTATCTTCTTCATCCTGAAAGCTGTGTTTTCATGTTTTTCACCAGCCTGTTTTTAGGTCTTCATGACGCCATGTTCTATTTGATCTGTCTGGTTCCACTTTGCATTGCAGTCGTACAGATCCTGACGTGGACTCCCTTTTCAATCCAGAATAGTCACATGGCAGCTGCACACTAAATATTTAACTGTTGGTCATTAAATCATCTGATGAACCACACCACAAAGGACTTAGCACATTTTAAATGTGAAAAAGCAAGATTGCCTTCAGTGGACTGTCAGACCAAATACAGTTTGAGCCACTTCAATAATATTGCACCCTTCTCTGTAATGAATGTAACAATCCACGTTCAGCCTTAATTATGAGCCTGTATAGAGGGGTTTTTGAGTTGAGTTATTTAAATGTATTGTGCTTTTTCCATAATTACTACTGAGGTCATTTTTGATATATACTGGTCACTGTTACCTGCTTTGAAGAATGGATATGGCAGATCAGGTGAGGGAATCCCAACTCAGCACTTGGAATTTGAGGGATGTATGTTCTTAACCTTACTGAAAGGTGGAGGATGAATTCTGTCATACCTGATAAAATGTCAGCTCTCTGATTTTAGGCCATAAGAACCCAGAGGGACATCCCTCAGGGATGGCAGAGAGATGAAGAAAAAGATGGAGCTGGTGTCCTGCTGACCAGTATCGACTCAAATCTGCCAGCTGCTACAGGAAGAGGTCCTATAAAAAATCTCTGTAAAACTAAATTAGAAAAAGATTAGAATGTTATTCAATTAGGTGTTATGGAAAAGACTCCATACTTCCTCTTGGCTTTGAAAATGTCTGCACTGGGTGGCAGGTAGATGTAGTTCCTGGCTTTTTGAATGGGAAAATTGTTTTGAGGTACAGCGTTGTTAGCTTATACAGAACGTCACTGTGGAAAGAACATATGGATATAGCAGTGTTCACTTAGTTGGTTCAAATCCTAGTACACACATTAAGTCAAACTCTACCTGCTTAGTAGTTTTAGATTGGCAAATTTGTTTGTGCTCACCGTTGAATTTAATGAATTAATGATTCATCCAGTTGATGTTAATTTCTGATTTAGCCTTACAAAAATGTCTTCAGGCAAGTTTTTGAATTGATCCTGTGATTTTTCTAGAATAAAGGTTTTTATACAATTTCAGGAACATTGAATCCTATCTCTGTTTCACACATGCTGTCCTAATACTCTTGCTATGAGGGCAGGAGAAAGAAAGCGTATTTAATCACACCCATAATCAGTCTAAAAAAGAAGTGAATAACCACCTTTAATTGAGGTGGAAGTCTTACTATATGAAATAGTGATAGGAAGTTGACAGTATTTTATGATTGACATAATTTGTTCTCCATTTCTCTGTCATTCATTAAACTTTGTTATCCTTTGCTAAACCAACATGATTGTTTTTGGCCGTGAATCAAGTAAAGGATGATCAAATTCAAAAGCTCAGTGTCTTTTAACAGCTGGTTTGCCTGCTTTCTCTCCCTGTTAGCTCCTAGTATCTGAGTTTGAAGTCTTACTGCTGGAAAAATGCCACCATTTATTCTTGATAGTTTAACAGTGTTTAAAATAGCTTCATAATGATAATGGAAATGTAAGTATGTATGAGATAGAATAGGAAGTGTTTTGATAACTTCAGAGAATGGGAAGTGTGATGCTTTAATCTCATTACTTCATAGAGTTTCTTTATAAATTCTGAGAATTTTGATCTTAATAGAAGTATGACACAATAACACACAATAGTACAGTAATATAATATTTATTGAAAATTGATAAGTAAAGGTGTCTATCAGATTTAAAGTGATATTGTTTAATAGTAAGAAATGTTACTATGTGATTAGTTATCATCTGGAAAAAAGTAAATGACATCAAAGAGTATTTAGGTAGGAAAAAAACCAGATTCTTTTTCTGTGGAGCTTACAGCTGGCTCTGTTCTTGTTTTGTACAAAATGTCCTTTTTAATATCCTGCTGTGACTTTGAAACTGCTCAGTAATTCATGAATACATTAGGTTGATATGGCTAGTGGGATGTTTACATTAGAGTACAGTTGTGTATCTTAATCGGAGCTGTCAGGAAAGACAAGAAGGAAGGGAGGGAACAGTTAAGATAAGCCACATCTCCACAGATAATTATGAGCTCTATCCTATCAGCTCAGGAAGAAGGTTTTGTAAAGGAACGTACAACCAAGACTGGGGGAGTCTCAGTCGTGTCCAGCCTGAAGAGTTGGATGGACCTGCAGACACCAGGAGGCATTTGTGAAAGAACTGGATTTCCTAGCTTACCTTATCTAAAATCCTTTCTCCTAAAGGCATCAATTTTGATTCTCTTACAGCCCACTTTCTAGCAGTCACTTTCTTACTTGTAATAGTAATAGAAGATGAATTTGTTATATTTCTGTGCTTAATTGGGAAAATTGCAGATTTATGTCCTGGAATACTTAAGACTGTCTTAAAAACACTCCCTTCTTAGGTAGGTATTCAAAACCTCTGGGTATGTTTTGGACCTTTTGCAGCCCAAGTATTAAATCAGCTATAGAAATACTACCTAAAAAGTTAAGGAAAAAGGAGAAATGATTATTTAAAAAAAAAAATCCTCCCCCAGCATGCTCATTGCTTTGAATGATGTTTACATACACAATGAGTATGTAACAATTCTTAGATTGTCCAGCAATTGATGCAGGGTACAGTTCCACCAGCAGATGTGCAAATAACAAATCAGAATTACTACCTGAATGTGTGCAAATAGTGCATTCTTTATGGCCTGTCAAGAGAAAAATATGCTTATGGTCCAGCTACTGCAGCAGAATATAAATGACAAATGTAACCCCGAGCAGGAAGCTTGAAATGTCTTACTAAAACATACCCAGTTTCTATATTAACAATACAAAGGTAAAAGCTAGTGTATCTCTTATTCAGTATGAAACTAATTATCTGTATTTTACATGTGATAAAATGTTTCCTTGTCACCAGCATGTAATTAACCTAAAGTAATCTTATGTATTTATTTACACACTGCAAGTAGATGTCTGTTTAATCTAGTAGATTCCAGTAGATTCAAGTAGATGCTGTAAGTAAGCAGCAAATTTAGCTTTTTTCACCTTGGATTTTGATTATAAAGCTGTTTTATTCCCAGAGGAAAAAATAAGTTGATTTCCAAGGCTGGATTTGATCAGTTCTTGATCAGAGGGTCTCCCAGGTGGTAGATGCTGTGTCCTGTGCTGGTTTGACTTTCTATCAGGATGTGAGGATGGTGGACTTTCAAACTGGATCTAAAGGAAAGAGATTGCTTTCTTTAGTGGTTGTTAAGAAACATTCTTCTGAGAGGCTAGAAGCAATAGCCCCGATACCATTCACAGATGGAATCTCAACTAATGAGAGAGGCTTTGTCTCGCTTTGCACTTATTTTCAGCTGGATGTGGTATTCCTCACTATCTTAGTGCAAATAACCTAAGTTTGTTCAAACATAAGTGAGAAGAGTGGTGTAACATGTAACCAAACCTACAGGAACTGGGGCTTTTGTTCCGCTAATATGATAAGAGATGATGGCCTTAAGTTGCACCGGAGAAGGTTGAGGTTGGATGTTAGGAAAAATCTCAGGAGCAGTGAGGCACTGGCACGGGCTGCACAGGGAGACGTGGTCGCCATCCCTGGAGGTGTTCAGGAACAGCAGGGATGTGACACTGAGGTCAGTGGCAGGGTGCAGATGGTTTGGGTTGGACTCGGCCATCTTAGAGGTCTTTTCCGACAGGAATGAATCAGTGATTTAAAGCCTGCAATGCGAACCCCGCTTTTTTCCCCTCAGCTCCTTCCCGCCTCAGCGCCTCGAGCTCCTGCTGCTCCGCGCGGGCGCACGCGGGTGTGAGGGCGGGGCGGGGCCACGCACGTGCGCGCCTGAGGGAGGCGGCGCGAGCCTCGGGGAGGGACCGCCACCTTTGTGGGAGCGGCGCGGATCGAAAGCCGCCATTCGCCGCTCTGCGGTTCGACAGCGGCGCCCCGCCCGCCCCGCGATCGGCGAGAGAAAGGGACGGAGCGGGTGCGCGCCGGGCCCCGGCGTGTCGCAGCGAAGCGGTCCGGCCGGGCCCCGCCGCCGCGGCGCCGCGTTCCGCCCCGAGGTGTGCGTGCGGGCCCCGGCGGGGCGCCGAGCTCGGCGGGCTGCGCGCCGCCGCCGCTGCCGTGGAGAGGGGAGGAGGCCGCGGGAGGGGGTGACTGCGCGCCCCGTCCCCCGATGAGACTGTGGCCGTGCTGGCTGGGCTGCTACACCCTGCTCCTGTGGGCGCTGAGGAGGAGGATGTGGGCCGGCCCCGCCAGGTACCTGCGGAGCCCTTTATCCAGGTCCCTCTACGCGAATATGATGGGCAGCCACGGCCCGCCGGGCGCCGGGGAAAACCACCAGGTACGGCCGAGCGGCCTCCGCTTGCCCTGCCCCGCCCTCCCCGCCCCTCCGCTCCCCCTCCTCGCGCCCGCCGGGCCCTGCAGGAGCGGGGCAGCGCCGCGGGAGGCGGCGGGCGGGGGCCGGGCGGCCCGAGGTACCGGGGCGGGGAGCGGCCCTGTGCCGGCCGAGGGGCCGCGGGCCCGAGTGAGACAAAGAGCGGCGGCGGCCGCGTCCTCCTAGCGAGAAAGTTGACGTGCGCTCCTCGGGTGAGAGGCGGCGGGCGGGGGGGGGGAAGGGCGGCCGGAGAAAGCCGTGTCGGCGTCCCGGGGCCGCGGCGGCGCGGCCAGGACTGCCGGCCTGCCTGAGCCGCCGTGCCGCTCGTCCCGCTGAGCGAACGCAGCCTGGGCGAAGTCTGCGCGGTGCGGTGGATGCGGTGGAGACAGTGGTGTGCCGTGACACAGCGGGCGCCGTGTCAGTGCCGGCGTGTCGTGAAGGAGGGACGTTCCTGTGGGTGCGAAAAGCGACAAAGCGCGCGGAGGCCTCGAGCGGCGGTAGGTGACAAAGTGGAGTTTGCAGGGTGACAGAACTGCAGTGAAAGGTCAGCGCTGTGTTTGGCGGCGCGGGCACGGCGAAGGGAGCCCGCGGGGGAGTCGGAGCCGCGCCGAGGCCGTTCGGTGGCTCTGAGGTGGGATTGCTTTTCAGATATGGTCGGGTCTGTGCTACGGTTTGCTGAAATGCTATCGAAAATCCGGCAGGAGTTCAGGAGGGCAGTAACTCGTGCAGAGCTGAAGGAAGGTATTTTATCTAAGTCATATGTGTATAGCTGAGGTAATGAAGAAGATGTGATGTAAGTACTCGAGGGTTGCTCGTACATGCTAGTTCTTCAGGCTGATCCGTTACTGGAGGGTTTTCCTGCTCTGAGTGGGCAGTGACAGCCGGAGCCCTGCTGCCAGTGAGCCCGGTGCTGGGGTGAGGGAGCTCAGCTGCGTTTGGGTCATTCAGTGGGTGGAATGACAGAAACTGAGGCTGGACTTACAGAAAGAACCTTTTTTGTGCTGAATGAAGAAAACTTGCAAATGTTTCCTGTTTAAAAACTGTACTGGAAAGATAAGTAGATCAAGAAAACATGCTGTGAAGGCAGTGGTGTCACTCACAGGTAGATTGTCAGCAGCCTCTGCTTCCACTTCACTGGATTTGGTTTTCAACTTTATTGTACTGATCATCTGGTAAGCTTAGTAAGACTTAGGGTTACAGACCTGGCATTATTCATGAGTTGGGGTTGCGTGTTGAGGGCCTTGGAACAGGGCCCCCTCAGCAGTTTCACCGATTTTGTTAGTTTTATGTAAGTTAGTTTAAAAATGTATGTTCTTGTTTTCTTTCAATATTAGGCAGTAGTAATTTTTATTATGTGACTTAAAACTTCAAATTTCTTTGATATGCTGTAGTTTTTCTACCATTGTTCTGTACCAGATTGATGTGCTTTCTGTTATGAAACTTGTGGCATTAAAAGAGCTGTTGAGGAATTGGGCATGGAGGAATACAAAAGCAAGTTCTATTTTGAGGAATTAGTTCCAGAATTAAGCTGTTTTTCACCACTTATTTTATTTGAATTTTGGATGGATTTTGTTTTTTTTCTCTGTAATTTGGAATAACTTCTAATACTCACAGGCATTATATAGTTATAAGTGTTTTAGCCAGTACTGTTATTTGCAAGTTTAACTGTGAAGGAATTGGGCATTGTTCACAGCCTTGTAAATTACAGAAATAACTCTTCTCACAGTTGTCACCATTGTTATGCCAATGGTTATATTAATATACATCAGTGTTCAGGAGTCTTAGGGACAGGAATTGTAGGGCAGTTGGTTTCTATGCTTGATCCTAAAACTGTCAGTAATAGAGGTCAGTGCAGAACCAAGGTGTGTGAGTTCAGGTACTGCAAATGGGCGTTCATACCTCCTAAGAATCAAAGTCTGTATTTCCCACAGCTTTGGTACTGGGATGCATTTCCTTCTCCATTGAAAATGGCAATGTGAGGAACTGCTCTGCACCTGCAGCAGCCTCAAATAACTGCTGGAGCTGACACTCATCCCAACCTGCTCTTCAGCTCCATGAAACTGTCCTCTCCTGCCATCTGCAGATGGATGGGCAAAGTATGCTGGCCTGAGTGCTTTTTCACTGTTTGCTATTTCTTTTTGGGAATCCCTAATCTGTGCTGCAGTGAGAAAAGACCCAAACTGGTAGATAGCAGTGCTGAGGATCCTTGTGCCAGGCTCTGCAATGCAGTGTGGGTTTTGGAGGAAAAGATGATGTGTGCTTGGAAGTACTGCTGAGTACTGCTGTCTGAAGCTTAGCCAGAGTGCAAGTAGTTCAGAATAGACTTAAGCTGGAGTATGTTTGCTCCTCTGCTGGAGGCTCTTGGAACACCTTGCTGCACTGATGCTGTTTGGTGGAGCCTCTGTTAATGAATCCAGCCCCACGGACCTGTTACAGCTGTCTGCTTCCCTCTGCTTGCCAGCACTGTTACTGTGGAGCAGCAGGATACTGAAAGGAGAGTCCTGTACCCCTATCATTTGTGTTACTGTAGTGACTGGAAGTTGCACTGTGCTGCTCAACACTGCAAACATGCAGTAACTGACTGTTCTCTGTCATACTGCAAACGTGAAGGGACCATGATGTATTTTTCATAGTGTGGCTCCAGACAGTGCTTTAGGTGAGAATCATTGTGAGGTTACCCCAGCTGGCCATGTGCTGCCCTTAGCATTGCACTTTTAGAAGTTTCTGATGAAAATCTACACACCTTTTTAGCATGCTTGTGACTTTTAATCTGCACCATAAACACAGGCAGACAGATTAGGAAACATTACTGTGAGGTTTAAGAGGGTGATAAGTTTGTATAGGACTGGTTGTTACCAGGTAACTCAGGTTGAAAGTAATCATGAGCCTATTTTTACTCAGGCTTTGTGTTCTGCAAATAAGAAGGTATAGAACTGTCTTTGAGCGGATACTGATGATTTCTTAGATGTGAGAACCTGATTATGTTATTAGTAGAGATAACGGGGGTAAGCTTTATTGACAAAATGGTTGTGAAAGGCTTGTGGACGTTCTTGCTGGCACTAGTAAGTGAAGTGTAGGCCAGTAGTGCAGAATGACAGATGAGCACCTCTTCAAAGTATTGATGGGATTCTCTATCTCTTCCTGGGAAAAATATTTCAAATGCACTTCCTGATATCTTTCCAGGGAATACAGTGACAAATTAGGAGCAGAGACAGAAAACAACCCTGCCCCACTTCATACTGTTCCATAGCGAAGTTGTTTTACAAAATTCTTTAAAGTACCATGTAGTGATGAGGATAAAATTTTAAGTGTTATTTATAGAGTCGTCTGTTCGCACTTGATTGCGGTTTGTATCTGAGTTAATTAATCCTGAAGCCTGTTTAAAAGTCTTGAGGGAAAGCTAAATTTTTGTATTTATAGAAACTGATAATAGCTCTCTTTGTTTTAATTTCTTTTTAACGATTCTATTTTTATATTGCTGAACTTTTTAATGATCCTTTGTCTCTTTCTCTAGTGGTATGTCTGCAACACAGAACAGTTGTCTGAATCCCTTCAGCCTATTTTTGTCCAGAGTTACCTTGACCAAGGAACGCAGATCTTCTTAAACAACAGCATTGAAAAATCAGGCTGGCTGTTTATCCAGCTCTATCACTCTTTTGTGTCCTCAATTTTTAGCCTTTTTATGTCTAGAACATCTATCAATGGGTAAGTGAAAAGTCAATCTTAGGTAAACTGCATACATTTCGGATGTAGGTTTTTCAGGTGTTCAGCCCTACTTGTCAGCTTTCCTTAAGGTTCTACGCTTTTCCCTTTGTCAGACTAACGTCTGCAAAGCCCTACTGTGCTCTTCCCCTAAACCTCTTAATTAAACAACACCATTTCCAGTATGAGCAAGGCAGAGGGACTGTTAGCAATTAGTCAGGAGAGAGGCAGAGTATTCTAATTGTATTTTGTAATCATTACTTAATTTTCTTCTGATTATCCTCTTAAATAAGAGAGTATTTTCTTTGTGCTAGATGATGTCCTCCTCTCTGCTTTTTTTCCCTTCTCCTTGCCCTTTATCTGCTGCCGTATCTGTAGCATTTCCCATTGTGGTTGTCCTCGTTGAAGGTGGCTGTGTCCAGTTAGTTCTGCATTGCAGCTAAGGCTTATGGACATACCTGATGCAAAATTAGGCAGATTTCTAAATGATGCTGAAGTTGCTGAGTGAAGTCTTGTAACACTTGCATGGAATGGGATTTTATCCTCTGTCTTATCTGTTAAAACTTAATTTCATCATGGTTTGTGTAGAAGCCATACATGAACAGGTAGCTTCTGGTGTGGTGCATTTGGCTGATGAACATCAGTGAGGTGGGAAAGGAGAATTTTGCAAAGCATCACTCTCCTGGTCACACTGCATTGATCTCTCTGTGATTGGCTGTGGGAGAGGTTAGCTGGTCGTGGCTGCTTTCATGTTTTAGCCCCAAGAAGTCAAAGTTTCTACTCACTCACTTCTCTTTTGCTCAGACGTGTGTAACAGCTTAGCACTTTTGACTCTACCAACAATGCATTTTGTTGCATTTGTCCCATTTCTCCACCATCCCCACATCTTTACATATTTAAGAACAGTCTGATTTGAGGACAGTAGCTGGCTACTAGGGCTAGGAAAATAATCTTTCTTTTCTAACCAGATGTCTCTGAGCTTCCTGTGGTGTTTTTAGTACTGGTGGGCTTATATAAAGGTTCCTTTGGTCTTCTCATGGTCTTTCTCTTGCATTTTTTTTTCCCCCAAAGGCTCTTCAGTGCTTTGAGTAACTCCTCATAGTGCTGTTCTGCATAATAACCATGAGCCAGTTAGACAGTGTAGACTGATATGTGTGCTGCAAAGGGATTCTGCATAGATAGGTTGTATTCTGTTTGATTTTTTTAATATATTTAATATCCTACTTCAGTTTCTTCTACATACCTGTACAGCCTGATGGTGTTTGTTTTTAATAGTCTCTCTAGACCTCTTATTTTTCAGATTTTTTATTTTTTCATCCTTTTTATCTGTTTACCTTTTTTCCTCTTAATCATAAGATTTCTGTTCATTTTCTTTCTTAAATTTAACCTCCTATCCAACATGAGTTTAAATAATATATATTTTTTACTACCTTTAATCTGTCATTGACCCTTTCTTTTTTCCTCTGCTTGTTCTCCTAACTCTTTCATCTTCTGAATTCTGCTATGGCAGCAGCGATCTGTCACTGTGTAGCCTTCAGTCAGTTCTGGGTGTGTGTGCCGTTGCCGTGATCCATAAAGAATCCAGATGTCACCTCTGCCCAATGCCTTAATGAGTCACCTATTTGCCGTTTGACAGCTGGTCGTGTTAAATGCAGGGTCTGCAGATAGCAGCAAAAGCTACTGTAACACACAGTTAAGAAGTCTTTTCTTTTGCCACTCCAGCAGTGTTATCCCCATGCTTTCTTTAAATCTCTTCCCTGCCATCCCTCCTAATTCCAAATCCTATTCCTTATTCTCTGTGCATGCTTCCGTCTGCAGTTGTTTTGCTGTCTCCTTTGCTCTGCCTTCTTTCTCCTTTTTAGGTAGGTGGGAGCGATTCAGATCTGCAAACGTGACAAATAAGGCTTAGTCTTTATCTTCCCCCTCCCTGCTTTTTTGTATGTGAGCATTTTCTTGCTCGGCAGCCTGCAAGCTCTTCTTTTCCTGATCAAATTCCTCCTGAAGTCTTAGCCACTAAAACTGCATGTAGCTGTGTTTGTGTGATCTCTGACGAGTAGGAGGCAAGTTGAACTGAATTTGTAAATTTCTCTGAGCAGTGACCTTATCTATTTGGTGTGACTGACTGCTGCCCAAGCACATTTTAAATTACTTCGTTGTCCTTCCTGCTCAAGCTTGTATGAAATTGAATGTTTCTCATCTTTACCTTGCAGGCTGCTGGGAAGGGGCTCAATGTTTGTGTTTTCCCCAGAACAATTTCAAAGACTGCTTAAAATAAATCCAGAATGGAAATCCCACAGACTTCTTGATTTAGGAGCTGGAGATGGAGAGGTTACTAAAGTCATGAGTCCTCACTTTGAAGAAATCTATGCCACTGAGTTGTCTGAAACTATGATCTGGCAGCTTCAGAAGAAAAAATACAGGTATTGTTCTGAATGCTCCCTACGTTGTTTATATCAGACATTACTGCAAAATAATCTTTGTAATATTTTATAAACATCCAGTATTTTCAGTCAATTTTTCTATTGTTTGATCTTTATGGAAAGGATTGAACTATACAAAAGCAAGAAAGCAAACACATCTCATGTTCCTTGTTAGCAGGGCTTTTGTTATGCAAATGTCCCCTGTTACCAGTTAAGACAAAATTGGCAGCACTGTTTTGAAGTCTGTTTTTTCATAGTTTGTATAAATTGCTTTAAATAAGACAATTAGACAAAATCTGGATACTGATGAATGAACAGTTCAAAATTGTGAGAGGAAGTGATGGACAGCAAAGCAAGGTTATAGACACAGATTATTCAGGTATCTGTACTTAATCATTTGAAGTTATGATTGTAGACTGCTTTATAAAGAATCTTTTATTATACTTAGCTCTCAGCATTAAGATTGATCAGTTCTTAGTAACAAAAACCTCATCACTGTCAGAAATTAGTTGTGCTCCGGTCACAATGGCTGGAAGTTCTTGTAGGCAGCAGATCTGGTCTGGTTGAATAATGGTTAGTATCCCTAAAGTTCAACATGAAGAATGAAGGAACTGTGGATTTCTACTCTATACCTGTCCAAAAGTGGACAGTTAATAGCAACTGGGTTTGCACACTGCTAAGTCAGGGTGGTTAAAATGCTGCAAACCATTAATCACATTTCAGCTTTGTTGTTACTTGAGAAGTACGTTCAGTTTTAATTTAGGACACCAGACTTTAATAATAATAGCTTGATGTTTATATGGCAGTATGAAGGTGTGGCTGAATATATAGGCATGCCAATCATTGAGTAGTTTTCTATTCCATAAGACTAGAATAAAGCAACTGCTTTTCCTCACTGCCTGGTTGGCTGACCTTTCTGTGCTACCAGCACAATAATTGGGAATTTTTGTCCTCGGTTGATTCCCTCTGAACGTGGTTCTTTATCTCTTTCTCTCTCTGTAGGGTGCTTGGTATAAATGAATGGCAGAACACGGGATTTCAGTATGATGTTATCAGCTGTTTGAATTTGCTGGATCGCTGTGATCAGCCACTGACTGTATTAAAAGATATTAGAAGTGTCCTGGAGCCAACTAGAGGCAGAGTCATTCTAGCATTAGTTCTGCCTTTTCATCCATATGTGGAAAACGGTAAGTACATGGATAGTAGCTATTTAGGCAACTACAAGCTTTTGTAGTTTGCAATATTCTGAATTAGACGTTTTTAAAATAACTGACATGTTTTTATTTGACTTACTTATAAATAACCTGTAGTGTGCTTGTTGAGAAGTATGAAATGATAGGTAAATAGGACACATGAGGTAAGAGCCGTTTTCTTAATTCCCCAGCATACATTGTTGGCACCAACAAAAAGCTCAGATATTGAAGTCACATATCCTGTTCTGCAGGTTGCCACACTTGAGCTGTGTTGGAGCAACATGGGAAAACTGATCTCTGATTAGGGCCCTCTGCTGCTGTCACATAGGTAACCCCAGTTGTCTCTAGCAACCGTTGAACAAATCCATCAGAACTGTCTGTAGTATTGAGTAGAGCAGCTTACCTCAAATTGTTTCAAGCGTTCCAGATGAACTACACCTAAAAGTTCCTAGGGAGATAATGTTTGCTGTCCAATATGAGCTCTTGGAGTAAAATACAGACCATGTACTAATGGGAAATACCAACCATTATTAGTAGTGTACTAATAACTGGAATAAGAAGTAAAATTTGTTGCTGACATTCCATTATTTCCTGTAGTTGCATTTTAAAGAAATGCATGAGAGTCATTTTGGATGAATTTTTCTCTGTGACTGCACATCAGAAGAGGCTAGAAGCTTCTTTAAGGTGCCTGTGTTTGTGGGGATTCAACTTGAGGCACGCTAAAGGAGGTTTGAGTTCTAAAGTCTGGTGTTCATCAGTCATTCTTTGGACGTTGGCTGTCTATGACTAGTAAGAATTGTCAGCAGAAGTATATGTGCTCCCAGAAAGTACAGAGCTAATAATGTTAGCATTTTGGAAATCATAAATCAAAACAAATCTATTTTTCTTTATGCCATTAACACTGGGGAAAGAAGGGGATTGAGACAGGCAAAAGAAAAAAAAAGTCTAAAAATAATGTAATTTGAAGAACTGCTTAAAGCATAGTATTTGAGCATGTAGTTTGGTAGGTGTTCTAAAAAGGAGTATGCCTTAAATGAGATAGGAGTTTGACTTATGCATCTGTATGATATCTTCAAGCAGATTGGGTTGCAGCTGTGTTCCTATAACGTAGGACTGTTTCACTTCCTCTCTTTAGAATCATAGGATCATAGAATTGTTCAGGTTGGAAAAGACCTTAAAGATCGTCGAGTCCAACCACAACCTAACCGTATTACCCTAACTAACAACCCTCCACTAAATCATTTCCCTGAGCAACTTAAAATTATTTTAAATTCCAGTAACAGCATTGTCTCACTAGACTTCCATGAATGTATTAGAAGCAGGAATCGAGGAGTGGTTTGTGTTTGTGTGCCTTCATAACTATTGTCATTGCGTTTTGCAATCACTGTTGCACCCAGTATCTACTCTTCTGCGTGTTGTTGGGTAACCACGGCAGACCACATGTAACTTCCTCACTCACCAGGAGGTAGATAAATTAAGGAAGAAAAAAAATACTCCAAGTCCATTTATAATCCATCATTATTTGCCTGCAGCATACTGGGAATAGAGTAGGATATTAAATTTGGAAATCCTGAGAGACTAGAAACCTGTTCTCTGGTTGCTGATCTTAGAGTGGATTTCAACTTTGAACGAGAACAGCTAAGATAGCCTGTAAACTGAAGGCAAACTTTGGTTTATTCTGGCAACTTGTAAATGATTAGTCAGAATTCTCAGCTAGTGCAGTAATGGTGTTTTGTGGCTGTCTGTGACCTGCAACATGTGACAGATTAACTTTAGTATGCCATTATCATTTCCAGCGTTCCAGTTGGTATATGACTGAAACTTCAAAACATCTTTACTTTGTTTACCTCAGTTGTGGATATGGGCCTATATAAACATTTCTGGACAGTGCAAGTTACTAAATGCACAAGTTATTGGCATTCCACGGAAGCTTTCCAACTTAAGATCTATTCAGCTATAGCCTAAAAAAACAGTGAAGAGCCATTCTGTGTTCATCACATACGAAAGATTTTAGATTCCAGTATTTTCATTGTTATTCTACAAGATGATACCTTAAATGTCACATGTGTACGTAAGCTTTATAATAAGAAAAAAAATTGTATGGATCTTGGATTGCTCCTTGTATCAGCTAATTTAAAAGTTTGGACCTGCTTGGGGAGATTTCTGAATTTTAAAGTGGGGAACGAATGGACAGGGATGGGTCAGGTAGGGATCAGTTTTGAGAGTTGGAGATATGAAACATATCTGGGTTACTACACTTAGTGTAGTTGGACAGCAGTTGCAGAAACTGACGATGCTAAGCCTGCCCAAAGAGAACAAAGCGAGGTAGAGTGAGAGGTAACATTTTTTTCTGTGCTGTTTCTGGAATTACAGTGACACCTAGAGTCTGAAGTTGCTAAGTCATAAATGCAGCTCTTTGCAGAAGTTTTATTTTCCACATGTAGAACAAGTAATGCACTTCCTGCTCACGTATATTGTCAAGTAAGCTGTATGAATCATATGGGATCATAACAAAACATGCTCTTGTGTGACTAGTCTAACTTAGTAATTTTGGTAGTATCCTATTGGGTGATTATAAAATGCTTTGTATTTCCTAATACAGACATTGCATTTGTATAAAGTCAGTTCTAAATAATAGACTAGAATGGTTTAAGTTTCTCCAAAATAAAAATGTTGAACTCACCACCAAAGTTCAGAAAAAAATCAACACTATCAGCCTGGGATTATGAAATGTTCTTGTTGAACACATTAGTTTTTATTTGATTGCTTCATAGGGATAAGAGGAAGGTGCATTTTTCATTTTCCTGAAGCATTTGGTATTAAGTAGATCTGGAAACACAGTGCTGTGCTAGGTGGGGCCTTTGTCTGATCTGTCAGTTCTCATCTCACTGAAATGAGAAGTAGCACTTCAGTCCTTGCTTCATTTAAATGACAGATGCAGTTGTTCCTGAGCAGGAGGTATGCCTGGCATCAGCAGGTCACTTCTCCAAGTGCTGATTTTGTACATTATCTGGTTTGTAACTTCTGTGCCCTTCTGTGTTCATGCCAGCATCTGTTGCGAGCAAAGGTTGGCACTCCGGATAATCCTGACTTTGGATGGTAGTGCTGGAGGAAAGGAGCTGTGTTGCTGGTGATTGATGTTCAAGTTGCTAGAGCAGCCTTTTCACAGTGACTGCCATCTTCCTTTCTTAGGTAGGCTAGGGGATGTTCCCATCCCAAATGAGCTTTAGCATGATAGTATGTGCATTTATGTTATATGTTGTGGGGTTTTTTTCCTGCTTGCCTACCTACAGAATACATCTGCTTTGCTGTTGAAGCTGCTGTAAGACTCAGTAGTTTTTCATCCGTCTGTCCACTATAACTACCACACCAATATGAATGAATACTGAACGTCACTGTGTAATGAGTTTATTTTGTTGCTGTTGATTCATGTACATCTTACACAAATGCACAATTCACATATAAGAAATGCATTGACATTCATGTAAAAATGTGTAGAATTAAATCTAAATTGAAAGGGGAAGTTTTTATGAAGCATTAGCAGTTCTCTTCTAAAAGATGAAGCCTTCTCCCGCTGTTTTTGTTCTTGTGGAATGGGAAGTAATGTGTAGCAGACATAATGTTGGTTTTGATGATCTCTTCAGCACTCTCAAAGAACACTGCCCTGTACACTTTGCTCCTTGCATTTTAAAGGAAAGTAAGTCTGTGACAAAGCTTCACTTCTTCATCAGCCCCTTCAGTTGCATCAAGCATATCCAACAAATTGGAAACGCAGCAGATACTCATCTGTTCTGATAAACAGTGTCATCCTCCAAATGATCCTAGGGAAAAATGTATAAGTGTTTACCTACTGATGCAAATGTTTTTGGCTTTTTTTTAAATGCAGAACTTCCTTTTAGAGGTAAATTCCACCCTTTACTGTTTCAGCAAACTCCTTCCCTCCCTGTTTATCAAGTCATTTATCTGGCTGTATGGTACCTACAGGTTTCTAAACGTTTCTTTTTCCTCTTGCCTTCTCTTATTCCTCAGAGAGCACAGAGGCATTAAAACATATCCTGTATTTTCACTGTGTTCATGTCTGACACTCAAACCAAGGATTAAGTCAGCAGGGACTTGAAGTCTTTAAAGGGATAATCACAGAGGAAATCAATTAGGGTGGTACAGAGGTAAAGTGAAAATGTTTAGAGGAGAAGTGCTTGACTTGCTGTTCTATTCCCTTTTTCTTTTGCATCACACCTCTGAAATAGCTCAGTGTAAGCTTAGAATAGGGAAGAATTTATAATGTTTCTCAAGAGAAGCTGATTTTTTTTTTTTTTTTTTTTGAAGGATCATTTGGAAGCCTTTTTTTTGCTTGCGAGTACATGTGGCTTCTGAAATTGCCTTCTGTATCTTTGATGACATGCAAAACTTTTTTGCTGTATTGCCATTCAAGACGTAGTGCTGGAAATTTGGAATGATGAAGTTGTGTAGCTTTATCCAGTGGTACTGACTGCTTAATTTAGGCTACATGTTGAATTGGGGGAAACATCTGTAAGAATGTTACAGAGGTGTTTTGAAACAATTTTCTTATGGTTCTGTCATTGAACCACCCTGGCCTGAGGGCACAAGAGGAACTACAAATGAAATGTTTTCAAGAATGAGCCCTAATGAATTTGTTTTATCAGAGTCCAGAACAACTTGCTGGAGCAACTTCTTGGCAGGATACAAGCCTACAGAGGCTTCATTGTTAAATGCACATGTATGTGCATGCATAGATACATATGTGTAAGTACATATTATATATATATAAAAAAACACAAAAGCTTGTGTATGTCTGTTTTTCCCACGTAGATAAAACTTACAGGCTGCTGGCAGTGCTCAGCATAACGCTGCTTTTGCAGTTCTTGGGCTATTGCTCGAAAAATTTTTCGGCCACTAGTGATTTTCTGTAAAGGATTTAAAACATGTTAGGTTAGTGCTACAGTTGAGTGCTACAGCTGGGAGAAGCATCTTTTGCTGCATTTTTATAGTTCTGATTATTTTCCCAGTGTATGTATTTGGGAAAGTTACTAAATAACGCTCTAGGAACTTACAGCAGCTCAGAGAGTTTAAATTAGATTAATACTACATCTCTTAACATATCTACCTTCTTTAATGGATATTTAAATAGCAAGTATGGCTTTTTATTACTCTCTAAAGTATAGGTAAAGCAGACGGTGATGACGTACACAGTTCTCTGTTCTCTGCCCTTCATTCCCACTTCTATTTAGCAGCTTTCGTTTTAACTGGAAGGAGAAGGAATAAAAAATGATTAAAACAAGGGGGTGATTTAGCAACAAGCGAAGTAGCACAATAATGAAGTGTTGCCTTATTATGGTGAGAATATATAAAAGTCAACTTAATAGATTTGCTTATGTGACGTTGAAAAAATCAAGGGTTTTCAAACACATACAGCCTTTTTTGGTTTCTGTAGTAGATGATGTAAATATTTTGTGTACAACAGAACCTGCCCGAAGCACGGCCAAGTTGTCAAAAGTAAGATAGCAGCTTTTCTCCTGGTGAAAAAGGCGATTGATTTTTTTCCCCTATAGTATTCAGGGAACAAAACAACAAGTTTCCTGTCTTTGGTTAGACAGCTGTCACTACAGCCAGGAGCCATGCTGTACCACAGACAGCTGTAAAGTCCATATTCACATGTCGTGCTCCTATGTGCATCAGTTTTACCAATGTCTGTGTTTGCACAATGGATGAACACAATTTCTTTATACAAGTCAAGTCAGTTTACTGGCTGTTAGCTCACAAATATGTTGGCATTGAATTTAAATTATTTTGCTTCTAATGGAAGCCAATCCAGAGAGTTAATGACTTGTAGTAATTTCTAGCTCTACTTTCTGTGTGTGCATTAATAAATAGTCTCCCACCTACTGATTAAAACACTCAGTATAATTTTAGCCTTTTTTTTTTTTTTTTTAATTTAAAGCATTTCATTTAAAAAAGAAAATGTGATTGCAGACAGATGTGTGCAACATATGAACTTCATTCAACCAACCACATTGCTATAACTACAGGTGTTATGGAAGCCGGGAATTTGTTCTCCTTGTGGAGGTGCTAGGACTGCTTAAAGTTCAGTCACAAAATCGGTTTGAGCCTACCTTGTGGGCTGCAAGGATTGTGAATGCAGTAATGCTGTATAGCAGCAGTAACGTTGAGATGATGATCATGGAGTTGAACTCTTCAGTGTTGTGCCTCTCTGCTTAGTTAGAAGTGAGAGTTAGAGTAACAAACAGTTTTTATGAGTCAAGTAATTTCCTTATAACTCTGCATATCAGCCCCCTTCCTCCGCAGAATTAAATTAATATAATTTAAAACTAATTTCCGATCTTAATTTCTTAGTACGATCACCTGCAAGGGCAGTGGAGACTTGTTATTTCTGATTATAAACACTTCCTTAGGGGATAGAGAATAAAACCCAGTATTCTGCTGTAATTAAAGAACATCTGAATAAAAGCATTTAGGCTTTTGTTTAGGAATAAAACTAGGCTGGGGAAGGAAGGATAGAGGGGAAAATAATAATCCTGCTAGCTTTCTTTTATTTAACCATGTAAGATTGAAGTGTAATGAATGAAGTCACATCATCTTTTAACTAGATGGCAAACATTGCAGAGGTATAGGACTAAAACTTTTGGCTCAAGCTGGCACTGTGAATCCCCAGTCCTGAAACCCTGTTCTCTGTTGGATGTATTTTCAATAAATGTCTAATGTGTTTCTCTACTTCTCACTTGCTACATCCTTTCTAGTAGCCATCCAAGTTTTGATGTAGGAGGGTGCACAGTATGGCTAGGTAGCAAATTTCTTCCTGTAGTGGAATTCTGGAGTCATTTGCATCATGTGACAGAACAGTCTAGTAAGCAAATGACACTGAGGTGCTTATTTGTAGAATCCCTCTGTAGCCTCACAATTAGTATTAAGTCATACTCCTCTGACGTTTTGGTTGGTATTTCTATCTTAAATGCTATTTTAAGCATCTAAATAGAGTATTTAGGAAAGAAAATGTACTTCTTTTGACCGCGCTTCTTTAGGAATGAATAATGAACTGACCTCTTTTTGTCAGTACTGTTCCATCTCCTGTTTGCTTAGAATGGGGTGAGCCTGAATCTGCAAATGCTATCCCACAGAAATAAAGAGCGCTGTCGTTTACAGTCAGGTTGTTGATTTGAAGCCAGTAGCTATTTTCTGATGATGTATGCACTTGGAACTTCTGGCGATTCGTGCATTCAGGAGTGCACAGATCCTCATGTCTGTTAGTAAAAAAGCGAAACCATAGAACTTGAGGCTGAGATGGGGAGCATCCATGGGCAGAGAAAGCACACGTTAGGAGCGCAGTGTGCGCTGAGTGTTCAGCTTCCTGGAACCTGGGCTGTGTTACAGTGACATGGCAGTTACCTGTAGCACCTGTTGAGAATAAACAGCCACGTGAGTGACAGTGAGATAGCAAAGCATCATTTAAAAGAAACAAAAGAGCTGCTTGTGGTTCATGCAGAGAGGTGGGTGGGAATGGAGAAAAATGCGTTTCAGGCTTTGAATGTTTAGGATGGGTAGATGGGGTGGGTGACTTACACATAGATACTCAGTGATGTATTTCACCAAGGGTTTCTCTTTCTTCTCCCACATCTGGGAGTCCAGTGAGACTGCCAAAAGGAGGCAGCAGAAATATCAGAAACTAAGACATTTAAAACTTAGCACTTTTGTAACATTGGGAAGAATTCTTAATAATTCCTAGGCATTATTCCACTTCGTTGCTCATATTGACTCTGGGTTTCTAGGGATAACAATATTGCTTGTTAGTTCTGGCATTTAAGAATATGCGTAGAGAAAACAGGAAGATTAATCAGGGAGAATTCTAATTAAGGAACTGAAATGTTAGGCTTAATATGACTGGTCTGGCAGATTTACTTTTGTTTTAAAGTTCAATAAAAACTTGAGACATTATTTAAATACTTTTAGTATATCTAATTTTATTCACATTGATTAATTATTTAAAAAATGGAATTGAGCTTAGGCAGTGAACATGAAAATAGCTTAGCAGCGTTCTCTCCTGTGCTCTAGAATGTAACAAATTAGAATAAATATAAATAGATGTCTGTCTTAATGAGTGTGCTGATACGCCATCTGTAAGGCTCTACTGTGTACAGTCAGCACAGTCCCTTCATCATTTCTCTCACTGAATGTTTTATGGACCAGATTCAAGCAGATTTGGTGTCTGGAATGAAATGAAATTCAAATCGACATCAGAGCCACTCCATAGCAGCTGCAGCAGTCTGAACACTGCAGTGGTGTAAGTCGTCAGTTACATTCTGCGTGGTGAAGAATGCTGTGCTCCAGCAGTTATCATCTCCTTTTACAGCTCGCTTTTGTGCTCTGGCCTTACAGGGCAGAACTCCATAGTTTCAGTAGCCAGGCTGCCTAAACCCTCCTCCCAAACAAACACAGTGGCTCTGAAGCCATGCTGCTGCTGCTGGAGCATTCCTTGCAGGGGAGTACAGTAGGATTTGACTCAAAAAATCATAGATTACAGAAGCATTTCAGATTTTGAAAGAAAAGATACTTGTAAAGAGTTATTTGTTTTGGAAGTTGCATGAATATAGAAGAAATCAACTCTTAGCAGAGCATTTTACTATACTTCCAGCTACGTTGCAGATCATAGCCACAACATTTTTAATCCTATATATTCAATTACATGAGAAGGTAGAAAGAAGCTTAGAAAAAAAGAAGTCTTACCAATACTGTACAGAATCCAGTCGAGTGCCAGCACCAGCAATTTTTGGAATTTGTTGACAGATGCCATTTCTTGTATCTTTCTGAAAAGTATTCTGCTCGAAGGAAGAGGAACTTAGGAAATAGCTGGAGTTGCAGAACACTCTGAGTCACGAGATTTCGAACTTCCTGTTTAGAAGGGGCTTTACTGTTGCGTTTAGCAAACATGCTAAATGTACAGCACACACCAGAAAATGTTTCCACATTACTTTGAAAGTGAGTGAACGCTTCTGAACGTCAAACTGAGAGTTCTGCCTGTAGTACTTCAGATTTATTCATTGTATAAAGCAAGTAAAATATTTTTCAGCGTAATACATGCATTCAGTTTCTTATTTTTATGTGACCTTAAACTGTCTTTGTTACGTCAGCTTCTAAGTGTCCATTCCACAACAAATTCTGTCGCCATTCCTTATCTAACCAGCAAAATAGTTTACCACTGAAAACTGCTCAGCAAATCATGATTTTTCAACTTGCTATCTCTATGTATGTAATTACTTGATGGTAATTTTTTGGCCAAACTGTAGGCATAAAGAAAAAAATACAGTGCTGGAAAAGATCTTTGTTAAATTGTCCGTCTGTCCATGGCTGCTGAACACCAGTCTCAGTGATGGAGAGTCCTTTTCAGTTTTAGTTTTGGAGCTGCTTGTTCTTCTGAAAAACCTTGAATTGATCTATGGCTTGTCAACCTTGTATTTGAATGAATGGATTGCAGTCTATGCAGTGTAATTTCTGAAAGAAAACACAACACACCATTAAGTTTACTTTATAATTGAAACAAAACTTGTTTTCTTTTCTCAGTAGGTGGCAAGTGGGAAAAGCCCTCAGAAGTTTTGGAAATCAAAGGGCATACTTGGGAGGAACAGGTTAATAGCCTGCCAGAAGTGTTCGGTAAAGCTGGTTTTGCCATAGAGGCTTTCACCAGACTGCCATACCTATGTGAAGGTGATATGTATAATGACTACTATGTACTAGATGATGCTGTCTTTGTCCTGAAGCCCGTGTAAGCCTACATGAAGTAAATCTCCAGAATCAAAGCCAAGAAGCAGCCTCTGAAAGAGAGATTTGATCTACGGTTCTGTGAAGGGAGGGAATCTGTGGGATTGCCATGATAACTAAGTACTATGTAAGAATTTTAATGGCCAAAATACTAATGTATTTCTTTGTAGTGTGATTAGGAAAATTTTGTTTTTAATTTTTAAATGGAGACTTCGGATGAGAATTTCTTTTTTTATCAGCTCTTAAACCAACAATGCATTCTGCAGCCCAGCAGTAACAGGGGATATTTTTTAAATTCTTACCTGCAACAGGGATCAGATCCAAACAGAAGCAATAGTTCTAGTGAGGAATCTGATACAACACAAATTGTTGTTCAAGAAATCACTTGACATCTGGCAATAAAGTTATCCATTTATTTCAAACCTTGCTGATTATAAACTGTTTAAATGGATATTCTTCCATGCTAAGTTACTTTCTCACTTACTGTCATTCTTCACGTTTTTATTCATGCTAATAAACTTTTTTGAGATGACTTTTTGCATTAACTTTTGTGTTCGTTTTTGTAACCATAGTCATGCTTGTTCACAGCAGCAGCTTTTTGCGTTGAGAATTGAGCTCGCAGTGGCAACACAACCTTGAGTTCATTAAAACAGTATTTAAGTATTGCTTAAAGGGATAACAGTCCACAAAAAACTGTATCACTTTTGGTTGGGTTTCTTTCATGTTCTTCGCAGTGCCTCATAAATACTCATTGCTTTTGCATATGCCATTTTCCAGCTAAAGAGGTTGTGGTAGAGCTTGCCAGAACTACACTTTAAACTGATGGATTTGATAATAAACTTTCAAAGTGAATTGTTCCCATAAGTTTAAAGAATTTGCAGGCACTTTCTTGCAGGCGTTTTCTAAGTCAAACTGCCTCTGAGCCTTTGACCTCAGGGGACCCAATTTCAAAGGTTTAAATAGCTTGGAACTTTTTTTTTTTCCTCCAGGAACACAAAGTATTTGTTTTAACATGCCTTCTTTTTAAAAGCCCGTTAAAATGGCTAGTTTCTGGCAGTTGGGATAAAACCTTCCTCTAAAACTACAAAGGGCAACACCAGGAAGCAGTACAGAAGTGGCAGGCCTATGTCTTGTCTTGCTTGGGATGTAAGTGTTGTAAGACAGCAGGGAAACTTCAGCATGTAGATCAGCTGGTAAGTGAAGCAAGAACTGACTTATCTTTTGCTTTTCAAGTATCAACAAGGTATTTATTTAACAGTTGGTGATCTCATGCCAGGTATGATGTTTCAGCTTGTCTTTTTAAATTTATCTTTGACTTCCTTTTCCTGATGTTTAGTGATTTCTCTTGCAAAGTTAATAGCCTTTTATTCTTAGTCTTTGTGAAAGATTAAGTGTTCTGTATTAAGGGGTGAGAGCTTTCACTAGTGGGGTTTTTTTTTCCAGCAGTAATTCAGGCTCAGCATTATTCTGATTTCAGCATCTGTTACTGAATTTCAGCACAGCATGCAGTGAAACTTCTCTGTTGGAAAAATGAACTCTATATGCTTTAGAATGAATCCTTTCCTTTCCTTTTACTTTATTCGGACCTATTTAGTAATGGGAAAATAGGTTCTTGTGCAATGAATTTAGCTTATTTAGCAAATTCTTAAATGGTTAAATGGCACTTGAAAGTTTTGCTCTCACAGGTTATAATCACATGGGAGACTATGCATATCTTTCATATCTTTTAGTTTTGTAATTTAAAACAATTGTTTGTAATAGCTTTGGGATATTTTGAGTCAGAAGATACAATGTAAAAGTATTTTTATTGCCTATTTTGTTTTCTCAATTTAAACAAGTTGTGCCACTTGAGATGCAAAACTGAAGCACTGAACTGTGAGTGGTGACAGGGAAAATCTGTAACCAGAGTAAGATTAAAGTCTAAAGGACTGAGCCTTGCAGGAGTCAGTGTTGGTCTTCAGACAGCCATAAGTACTCCCTGTTTTTGGGAGCATTGGAAGCTCTGTGACAACTTCCTTGTTTACTAACTGTCATGGTATCCTGAGACACTTGTCACACACACACACTTGTGTGGTTGTGTTAGCTTTGTTGTTAAAACGACACGCAATATAGCTAAAGTAAGTTAAAGCACCACAAATATATTGAGCGTAGATATTAATCACAGCACTGCAATCCTGTTCTTAATATTCTCTGATAGTTTTGCCTTGTTTCCTTTCTGTAATGTAGCTGTTAAGTACACAGTCACACAGCAGAATAAGAATGCTTAGTAGCTTTGTCCTGTAGAGATAATAACCTAGGCAGAAAATATGCACAATTGCCCTTGCTCTGTTTTAAGGTAAACCCAAAGTATTTTATGCATTTGGTACTTATCCTCAGAAACCCCCTTAGACCTGTTGTGCAGAGCATCCCTGAGGGATGGTACCTATACCCCTACTTTTCAGGGACTTCTTTGTGTTCTATGACCTCATGAGCCTATCAATGTGCAGCAAAATGCTTCCACATCCCATGCAAAGAAACCATTTTGAGTTCAGTTGTCATTTAAATTCCCTGAAATTATTTGAGATTTCATCCAAGGGGACAAGTGTGGCCAGTTTAATGTCCTGATACTTTATCCCTGGATTTTCTGTTCCTCTGCTATCCCTGTCCTGCTGTGAGGATGGTGATGTGTAAGTCAATTCTTAGTGGTACAATGAGCAGTACTTTGCCTTGGAGAATAATTGAACTGTCTGTTCTGTCAGGGTAGCACTGGATGTGTTGCATCACAGGAGAAAAGACACAGTGCAAAAGCATGGTTTAGTCGGGAGCTTTCAGCAGAAATCTGGCAGAGATTCATCTCGCAGAAGCCACAGCCCCCTTGGCTGGGTGGCCCCAGGTACAGTCAGTTCCAGCTCTGCTGCCAGGAGCTCAGCGTGGGGAGGTGGGAGGTACAGGGCCATACCAGCCTGTCCCAGTTTGTTGTCCTCATACATCCTATTGAAAACTCTCCATCTCAGGATAAGACGCCTCTGCTGCCTGCTGTAGGAGTCTCTCGCCCTCTTGAGTTCCCACAGCAGGACCTTTCCCCTCCCCTCTGAAGGCTGGCTAGGCACCTGAAGCTGCAGGGCAGTCCCTGCCCTCCTCTCAGGGGTCCTGGCTGCCACCGCCAGCTCCTTACACTGTGGAGTGTGGGGAAGGAGACATGGCAGAAGCAGGTAAAGTGCTTGGCTGTCCCCACTGATGCTACAAGAACTCAGCAACTCTCTTCTCTGCCCTCCCCTTTCTTCCCTCCTTCCTTCTGCAGCCTGAACCCCCCGAGTGTTCCCATGTTGGGGCTTTTTTGTGGAGATACTGAGAGCTTGGCTGCGAGGGGGAGAAAAGGCACTCGTGCATGAGGTTATCAGCAAGACTTCTGATTATGAGGTTAGTTTTCTGGTTATCAGGCTTCAGATAAGGTACTGGCTGCATCGAAGAGGTGGGTGATAAAGTGTCTAGGATTTCTTGACATGTAAGAGCGTGTGTTTTGGGAGCGAGAGCAGGGGCAATCTGCAAGCTCCTCATAACCTGAGAGCCCAGCAAGAGATGTCTCGGAGATCTGCTCGTAGTGCGTGCTGCCACACTGCAAAGAAAACTCTGCAGAGGGATGCTGGGTGGAAGCTGCAGAGCTACAGGCTGATTCAGGGTTGCCTAAAAGCTCCAGGGAACTTCTGCAAATGGACTGGTTTCAGAGACAAAGGAAATACTTAATCTCACAGATTCTTATCAAGCAGGGCTATTTCTCTGCAAATCCTTTATGCACCTGCTAGTTGTCCATGGCAATTAGTCAGGATAGAAGAGAACTTCTCTTAGCATTTAATCTCCTTATATATTAATTTGGTATGCCTTAATTAAAATACTCTCTGTGATCAAAGTGAATGAGTTGGAATAAAAAAGTCAGGATTGACATTGACAGCATGATTTAAACTGTGCAGAGTAATCAAACCTTACTGCAAAATTAATAGGGCAATAGCAGAAACAAACACAAGAAAGTTCATTGTCTGAGAAACCAGATACATCTGAATGAGAGAGATGTAGTACAGCACTCCCAGAGGAGTAGTTGAAAAGGTCTTCAGTGTGTGCAAAGAAAGGATGGGGCCTGGCTTCCTAAAGCACAGCGTTTCGGTGTGTTGTCATCCATCACTTTGAGTCACTCCTGTTACAAGGCTGGAGTTATGTATTTGCATTAGGCTGAGATATTGCTAGAGGCTGATGACAGGTGTTCTTGTAAAACAGTACCTACCAGATAGGTGAGACTAAACAGTCTGCGAAAAGTGTTTCTAATTATCAAATGTTCAAATCTGTAATTCAATCCAGGCAAAGTAAAACAACGGTGGGGGGGAAGGGGAGTGTTGAAGCACAGATCCAAATTCAGCAACAAAAAGAAATGGGGAAAGTAAGCACGGTGCAGTTAAGCCCTTGAAATGAAGGAAAGGGAGAGCTCCTCCCCCCTGCCTGGGGCACCCCGCACTGATGCTGAAGGCCAGGCCCAGTGCAGGGCAGAGCAGAGCTGCAGTGGTCGTGCAGGCAACTCCATGAGCTAAAGAAGGCTGAAAGACTGGTTGGAGTTTCATTTTTCAGTCTCTCTATTTCTTTTCTATTTTACCCGAGCTTAAAAGTTCAGTTTTTTGTTTGTTATTGCTAAATGGTATTTAAATCGTATTTAGTTGGAATGTGGCTTACCAAAGTGCAGCAAGGAAGGAAAAAGTATTTACTGAAAAGGGGGGAAAGCAATCCCTGGCTGCACACACACACCTGGTGGACTTGTATTTGCATAAAGTGTGTCTCTAGCCTGGAAAAAGATCTAAATTGAAAGCTTGGGAGCAAGCACTTGCAGATTATTCTGATCTCAGCCTGCACTTGGTAGCTTAGACTGGCTGTGACTTATAGCAATGGAACTTTTGGGCGAATGCTGCCTTTTGACTGCTCTTTTTATTTTCTTTTTCAATCCAAATATCTTCTGAATCTAATAAACACTAGAAGAAATGCTCAGACTTCTGAAGATGTGTTTCTTATTGATATTAATGAATCCTGCTGAGATTACTCACAGTCAGAATTCTCAAGGTAAGACTAGAAATCCTATGTCAGGAATGTATTCTGTGTGATGGAAAAAGCTGTGTTAGTAAGTAGATTCAAAGTAGATTCAGTGCTGTTTAGTAAGTAGGAGGCTATTCTCTGCTCTCATGGCCTCAAGGACTATACCAAAGAATTTAGACAGAATTTCTTATTATTTAATAGCTTTTTATTTTCAGCGTCCTTCTGTAAGTACATTTAATCAAGGCTGCAGTAAATGTGTGACTGTAAATTGTGTGTATATAGTTGTGGTAGCTGCATGAGAAACATTTTTGTACAGCAACTGAATGGTAAACTGTCCATCACCTTTTAGTAACATGATGATCTTTTACAGATTTGCCTCCACTATTACACAAAGCTGCGGTTAGTATTTTTACTTGGTCTCTCTAATAACATTTATAATATAATCTAAAAATAACTGATCACACATCTTTATTTTTTTTCTGA